AGAACGTATTCAGCAGGATGACTGCTCGAGAGACATGAAGGTGGAGCAGGATGCTTATTTATTACCTAACTCAAGTAACTCTTTGGTTAGATGCAGCAAGTCAAGGCGAAATTTAACCGAGGTATAAGACTGTGATACTTTTTCTACTGTAATTACTGGGTATAGTACTTATAATTTACTGGGCTTTCTGTTCAGGAAGAAAAAGAAGCAAGGAGGGTACGCAGGATATTGGCAAATAGAGAGTCAGCTAGGCAGACAATTCGCCGTAGGCAGGTATTTACATAGGCAAATCAATTCACCATTGTTAGTTTGCTTGTCACCCAAAATCTAAACCTTGAATACACCTAGCACATGCTTGATGTGCTTGGCAGAAATGCAAGAGTGGACTTCATTTTTTTCATTTGACATGGCTTGTATGTCTGTCAAATTTATTGTTTATGCCTTTCAATTATCATTAGGGATCTTTAGATTAACTTACTTATTATTCATTCCCTCCCTGATATGGTTGTTCATCGGAAATTGCTTGTTCACACTATACTACTTAGTAGTTGGATGATGATCTACACTGTCGTTGTTGCATATGAATGTACCATGATCATAGAACAGCACATTTTGTAATGTCCTTCAAACTTGTTTTATAGTCTCAGTCCCTGTTGTGACACTAGCTATGATTGCTTTTATAAGTTCTCACTTCTCACAAGACAGAAAGGTTAGAACTTAAATTTCTTGAAACATCTAATTTAGTGTGTTTTTTTATAGTTCATCATAACTATAACAAGTCTATTTTATCGTATTAAGAGTTTGGTAGCTTTAACAATAATTTAGGGTGCATTAACTTGTGTTTCCATTTTTTATTTTCAAATTATAATTACAAAATTATCACATTGTTTTCAAATTGTTTCCTATTTTCAAAGATTTGAATAGGAAACAAAAAAAAACAAAAAGAAATTGTTTTTTGTGTTTTCTGTATGAATCTTTGAAAAAGGGTAATAAATTGAAAACAAGGTGGCAGTTTTATATAAAATGTGAAAACAGAAAATGAAAATGAGAAGTGAAAATACATGCAAACGGGCCCTTAGTTTTAAATAACATGACACCTCCAAGTTCCAAAATACAAATGCTAACATGTAGTTGATAGCATAGCGGGAACGAAAAATTTAACTTCAAATAAGTTGATGCCTCATCCACGTGTCAAGATACAAAAGTTGACTAGTATTCAATAGCACTTTGGAAGGATAGCAAAGCGGAGTTGCCGTGGACTACTATGAAATTCAAATAGTGGTTAGAATAGCCCACCATAGCGGTCACAATAGTGGCCAAAATAGAAGCTTTTCGTGTGCTATGGTGACGACACCATGATATAGGCTTCAAAACTCATTTTTACCCATGGAACATTATTATTTGCAGTTTTTATTTTGGGGAAATTATTCCACAAAAAGTTAATTCTGTTTTGACCCCTATTCCTTCACACTTTACAGGACTATTTTTTATCTTATCTTGTCTTGTCTTCTGTTTTTTCTTGTTCCTTTAGACTTCTAGTTCACATTTTGCTAATTTTTTATACAAGTTATGTTCTTTTCCTATTAATTGCACCGCCATCTTTCATTTTTTTTTTTGACTTTTTTGCTATGTTCTTATTGCTCTTAGATTGATGGTAATTGCGTGTAAACTGTGACATCTTATTTATCATGGATTCTTTTTTTTTTTTTTTCGAGTATTTGTATGTGTAGCATAAATTATTCAGTTTGTGCTATAATAATATTTTAAATAGCAGTCGTATCACTTCCCGCTATAGCTTCTTGCCATTTTCAAAGTTTGCCACTACAAGTCACTATCAGAGATTGATAACTATGATCAAACTATGATCCAAAGCCTCAATCCCTCGTTCCCACTGTTGTGATCCATGTATGAGTAATGCTCATATCGCTATATCCATTTTTGAAACAAATACGATGTTTGGTTATCTCTTATTAACAAAAAAAATAAATAGTTTAATGTTTGCCATAGTTGATAGCTCCTCTAGCTATAGATGGTACTCTAAATTTTTCTGTCCTAATCAAAGTAAATGCATATTATGTTAAGAAGATATCTGATCTATCTTTTTTACTAGCAAGATCTTTGAAGCAAAACTTTCAGATTAGGAGTTCCATTTCTATAATATTCTATATAACAACATATTTTCTGCTGGACCAAAAGACTCTCAAATCTGTAGTTGAATTATGAATGTATATGTAAAAGTCATTGCAGACTTTAATCCTGTATTACTTACGTGAATGATTAAATTTAAAATAAACCTGATACTTGAAATGAACTATTAAAAAAATATTCTTTTGAGCTGTCTATTTGTTCCAGTTGATCAATTTCTCATTGAAATATTGATAAGTTTCCTCTTTTTATTTATGTATATATTAAAATGTTTCAGGCTCTGTGTGAGGAGTTAAACAGAAAAGCTGCCACTTTGGTGGTGGAGAATCAAAACCTGAAGAGGGTATGGTACTATCCCTTGTTTGATATCTTCTCATTGAGTCACCTTTAATGTCTTCCTTTTTATTTTGTTGCAATTATTTGATTGAAACATCTATTTTAGATATTTTATCATTTCTCAATTTATTTATCCTGTTTGATGTTTATCTGATTATTCATTCTTCCACATTTTGTGACATTTCTGGTATAAAGGAGAAAGAGTTGGCTTTGAAAGAGTATCAGTCGTTGGAGACTACAAATAAGCACTTAAAGGCACAAGTAAGATGTTTTGCTGTGGTAGAAATCTCTAAGAATAGTATAACTCTTGTTTGTAGAGGATGTATATCAAAAGAGGAAAACCAATATTATCTTCCATTTGCAGATAGCCATGTCAATAAATACTGAAGTGGAGAAAGCTCCTGTTGAACCTGAGTCATCTGTGGCTAAGGTAACACCTTTCTCTGGTAATGGTCCATGGTTCCTTTATAACCATTTTCCAGTTCCACAGATATTTTGGCCTTCCATCCTTGAGTCTTCCAATCCAGTTCATTTACAAAATGCACCATTTAATTATATCGCCATTCCATCCAATGCTAATGTTCCATGTTCTTCCGTGTCTGAATCATGTCGCAAGCAAAATAGCCTTATAAATGATAATCGAACACAAAATCCATGTTACGTGTTTCCATGTCCTTGGTTATTCCCTCTTCCACAGTTTGGAAATGGACAATCATCATCGCCTTCCAGTAGCCTGAAAGATAAACAAGATAATCTTTCTCAAGGTAACCAATGTAGTTCTAGTTCATCTTTGAATACACTGGCAAATGTGGATTATCAAGCAGCTCTACCTATCAAACTTACAACAGAAGCTTCTGGCTGGGCAGAGCCCAGACCTGTCAATGACCATGGCTGTGCCACTCCAATATTTTCTTTAGATGGAGGTGAGAAGAAAACAGGATGTAACTTTATAGAAAAGTTTCATGGACCTGTACTTGGATGTAATGGTCATGCTTCTGCTGTCAAACCAGAACATGAATTTCAATTACATTCTGCTCCTGACAACAAAGTATCTTCGACAACTTATATTGCAACTTCTTCACTGGAAAAGAAACAAGAGCAGCAGTTCATTTGCCCGGGGAAAAATCTAGCGGATGTAGTTGCTGCAGCAGAAGCAAGAAAGAGGAGAAAGGAATTAACAAAGCAGAAAAGCATCCATAACCGCCAGTCCCGGATGCACTGTTGACTTCTTAATATGCAATATTTGAAGTTCAAAGGGAGCAAAAGTTCATCCATTACCGGCTTTTGCACCTGCTTATGGCTTGATGGAAAATTTATTGGAAATTAAGGGGAATGCAGGTTTACTATATCCATTGAGGACCTTTGAAGAAAATAACTGAACTCCAAATCATGTATAGCGGTGACATAGTTGAAGGTTTAATTTTTTTTTTCTTACAATCTTTTAAAAAAAAAAAAATTACTTCTTCCAAGGATTTTTTCCCTCCTGCTGAGAAAGAGGCAAAGGGAAGTTGGTTTCTTAATCGGTGAAGCTGACCAAATTTTTTATTGGTAGTTATTATAATCCGGATTCTTTAACTTTTCAATTTCTGATCAGTTATTCTCAGAAATTTTGTTGTCTTGCAAGGATGCACGAAGAAAAATTTAGGCCCATGTTTGTACTTAAACTGAGATGATCTTTCAGCGGAAGTAGAGATTTTTAAAGATATTTAATAATTTTGAGCTCAAAATGCAGTTAACCAGGTCTTTTAGCACATGCGGACAACCTTGTATGTGACATGGATGCTGTAACATTTCAGAGCCTGGATATCTACAGACTTTTTATTAGCTTATATTTTTCATCCACAAATATTTGTGGTAGGCCTTACCTTAAAATGGGTACTCTCCTTTCTTTTCCCTATTTTCAAATCATTTTCCATAAAAGATATTAAATTGTTGATGATAATTCTCATGAGCTTTTATGACTTGAGTTGAGACCCTACAACTTAATTACGAGAGTATGATTTTATGGCCAAATTCTTCTTCTTTAAGCTAAAGAAAATAACTAACTAATTGTACACAACATGGGGAAGAAAGAAAACGCCTGAACTTTTTTATTTTGTATTTTATTATTTTTTTATCGCCAAATAAACTCCCGAATATATTTTAATTCAAAAACTCCTGAACTCAAATTCCTAACTTATGCAATGTGCCCACTACGGGCTTTGGTTCAATACAACGGCTTAAAGATAAGTATTGGACTTCTGACTGTGTGTTTAGAGTCATTCCATTCAAGTGATGCAGTTAATATATGAGTATCCTTCGGCATTGGAGGTCCCTTCATGACAACCTTAAATGACAATTTTTGGTGCAACTGCCTAAACTTCAACGTATTTGGGATGACCTTCACGGAGAGACCCTTGGGAGCCGTAACTTTAGCCTTGTAAGTTGAATTCCTAGATCCTACGTTGGTCACAGTCCGATGAAAAACTGCGGAAATTCTAGAACTGGAATCGAATAGCTGGATATGCATGCTGGGGTAGTTGATTCCATCAGAGCCTGGCGGTGTCTTCATGCTTGAGCAACTGAAATTTTTGCTGCCTATTAGTATACCAATGTTGGTGCTGTTGAAGCCTGACTTGCAAAGGAAGGCAATATAGGAGTTGACTCTAATGTCGTAAACCAGGCCAGGATGCAATGCTTTCACAGGGTCAAGCTGTCCTGACCCAGATCCCAGTTCCGTTAAATTGTCCCCGATTTTGAGAGGAGTGGCTGAATAGTAGAGACCAAAATGTTAGATTTGAAAATGAAAATTTTCTTGTCCATCAACAATTTTAGTGGGATTGATTCTGATTTCTCACCAGTGGTCATGATAGCAGATTTAATTGCAGCAGGAGTCCAATCAGGGTGGAAGGATTTGACATAGGCAGCGGTTGCAGCAGCATGTGGGCATGCCATAGATGTTCCTGATATTATGTTAAATACGTCGTAACGGTTGTCTTCATGGTACCCTGTCAGTGTTGCCAGTTTGGAATAAGCAGCTAGAATGTCCACTCCAGGGGCAACCAAATCAGGCTTCACATACATGCATTAGGTAGACATTAGAAGGCAAGCCAAATGGAAAAGAAGAACAAAAGGGAGATACGAGAGTCATGAGAACCTTGAGGATATTTGGGGTGATGACTTGAGGACCTCTCGATGAAAAAGAAGCAAGATATGGAGCAGGGACTTCTGCAGTTGTTGTCTTGTGAATAACCGCTCTAGCATTCCTGAATTCCATGGAAAAAGTAGTTATTGACATTGTGGGCATGGAGAATGGAAAAAGAGAGAAAGAAACAACGTACTTTTTTGTGGAATTGATGTAGCGATCGATGATTTTGCCGACAGTGTCGGCTTCAACATAGGCCCCTGGAATAACGGTGGTGTAGGAGGCGTCTATTGGGTCTTCAACACCTATGATGGCCCCTGCTCCTCCTAATTCTTTGATGGTCAAGTCCTGACTCCCAGTACCCCCAACGCAGTACACTATCCTCCCCTTCACTCTGTCCTTCCTTAGAGTCCCATAGTCACAACCACTACACCGTAACTATCTATAATCATTACCATTCTCAAACAATCACATAAGGATCAAGCATGCATGCATGATTCATGAATAACAATACCTAGCACTGCCAAAGCCGTCTCCACTATTGTTCGCCGCAAGGAGTCCACTAGTCAATGGATACATCTTTTTCTCCGGGGAAAAGGTATTAATAGAAAGTCCCTACATGATTTTAATATCATTTTAATGCGGTTTAATTGTTTCAAGTTTGAAGCACCAACACATGAAGCAACTTTACTTACAGTTATGTTGTTTCCATCACCAAAGGCAACGAGTGTGGTGAACTGGCGATCAAGGGCGGAAGCCGCCACCGTCAAAATCCAGGGAGCGGAGTTCTCGACCGACATGGGGCGAGGGCCACTGTTGCCGGCGGAGCAAGAAGTGAGAATCCCTCTGGTCATGGCGTGGAATGAGCCGATGGCAATCGGGTCGGAGAAGAAGTCACGTGAGGGGCCACCGATGGAGACCGACAAGAAGTTAACGCCGTCGGCGATGGCCTCGTCGAATCCGGCGAGCATGTCCATGTCGCTGCAGCCCACGCTCCAGCATACCTTGTACATGGCAATGCGCGCCGATGGGACCCCGCCCCTCGCCGTGCCTTTGCCGATGCCGTAGAGACTCGCGTCCTTCACCGCCGCGCCCGCCGCCGTCGACGCCGTGTGAGTGCCGTGACCCATGTCGTCCGCCGGACTAAGGTTGTCCGAAGCTGGGTTGCTATCTTCCAGATTGAAGTATTTTGCTCCAATCACCTTGCTGCCATGCATTCATTCCACGAAATCAAATCAATCTTGCATGCAAATATATATAATTGTTTATAATTATAATTAATTTCATCTCATTTTCATCTAACTCTTTTTCCTATCTTACACCATCCCACTTTGGAGTGACTAGAACTCTTGTTAAAATATTGTTAGATGTAGGACTTTTGATATAGATAACATCTCTTACTCTTTTATCTTGAAGAAGGTCACTAAGGTATAAATTAATTTTTTTCGGATCAATTTATTATTTTGTTAAGATACCCTAGCTAATATATTGTCAATAATTTTATATAAAACGTAATTATTATTCTTCTGTTCATTAAATTGTAGTTATATGCTAGGGACAGGTTTTATAAAAATTGAATAAGAATACAAACAGTTAGATTATTCTTATTTTTATGTATTTTAAAAGTATCTTTTACATTAATTTAATTTTAGTGTATATGTAAATAAGGTAGGAAATATTTTTAGATTAACAAAAAATTTTGCGATAAGAATTCAACGATGAATTCAGATAAAATTATCTAATTAAAAAGTATTAAATCGTGTAAGAATAGGTTTAATTGATATATAATTTATAAATATGGTGAATCAATTTTTGTTGGTTATTTATGTGGTTATTGGAGAAAAACAAGTGATGCACGAAGAATACTTGTTGCAGCCAGTAAAGTTTGCTCCCGTTACACATTTGCCCTTCCATCTTCGTGGGGGAGGTCCATACCCCTTATCGTTGAAACTGGGGCAATCAACCCAAATACCTGTTTAATAAATAGAATAACAATTAATTAATCTCTTTGTTTTTTTACCACTATCACTAGACAAATCTTTTCTTGATATATAATATACCTGTATCCAACACGCCCACAATGATATGACTTTCTACGTTCGAGTTTCTCTTCACGTTTTGGGGCATTCCTAGAAAATCCCACGACCTTGTTGTGTGTAATTTGCGGAGTGTATTTGGAAACACAGACACCACACTGTCTTCCTCTGCATAATTATTTAAAGAAACATTTAATTTGTGTCTTAATATCTCTTTTAATTTCCACAATAGTGAAATGAAGGAGTACCTCGCAGCATCTCTGCCTCATGTGGCAAAAGTCGTGCAGCGAATCCGTTGAAGCTCTTTCCATAACTATATATTTTGGACTCTCTGGCTAATTGCTTGCTGTAGTAAAAACAAAGCAGAACCATTAATCATTAAAAAAAAAAAATTATAATCAAATGCGTTTTGATTTGATAGTAGAGATCATTACTTTCCAATCGCAGTCTCTAGCATGTTGTGGTGGTGGCTTTCCACAGCATAGGGTCTAGCCACTGGTAGTTCTCCCATGTATACAATATATGGCTGTTTTATTATTTTTCCCACAAAATTCACATCCATTAAGAAAAGTGTAATTAAAGAAGCATAAATGAATCTGAAAAAATAGTCCCAATAAGTAGGGTAACTGAAACATGTTAATTGGGCACGCATACCTTTCTTTCATTTTGATCTGATCCTTGAACGTGTAAATGATAATGACAGAAGACGAGTAGTAGAAGTAATAGTAGCCAATTGTGTAACATTTTTATTGTATGATTCATTCTACAACAAATATTGTGTTTTGGTAAAAGAATATGTATCTATGTTGGATAGTATGAGGCACAAAGGAAGTGGTAAATTTTTGTTGCATGTTATAGTGGAAGGGATGCAGATTATGCGGAACGTGAAAAGAATGTCGTTTTAACGGAAAAGGGTAGGGAAAGACAGTATTTGGTGGCTTGGATTTTGGATCTTAGTCAAGTGATGACCATTGCCAAAATACTTGCACTGCATTCAACCGTAACAGTTAATTAGAAATGAAAGAGTAACAGTGTCATTCTGTCATTCGTTCAGCCCAAGAGTAATCCAAAGACTAAATCAAAGCCCAAAACCGAGGCTTTATTCCATATCGCTCCACGGAAAACCTGTGCTTGCACTCCCAACACATTTCATTTACGTTCTTCTATCAGTTATTAAATAGTTTTTCTTCTGTTAACCTAAAATATAATTATTAGGAAACAATCCTGTTTTAAATTCATTAAATTATATTTTGTGTTTGATGCATGATAAAATCCAACTGACGTATTATCAAAAGTTATTCAAACAAGTTAATCGCCACTTTTTTAATTAAAGTAAAGGATGATTAAATTGTATTTTCAAATAAATGTGAGAAGTTATATTTTAAATTACTTATAATTTTTATTTTCACTTTTTTTATTTTATTTTTTTCTTAAGTTAAAATTTTATCAAAGACTATTTAAATTTAAAGTACAATTTTATTAAATAAAATTAATGACTTTTAACTTTAATTATATTAAAAAGTAAATAAAACGTTGAGACTATTTGGCTCCATAAAATATTTTGTTTTTAAATTTAATTACAAAATGTCAGTGTTAATTTTTTTAACAAATTCAATTAACGTGGTGACATGTTAAGTATGTCTTGGCATTCATATGTTGATGTAATATTGGTGGACAAAAACTGCACCACTGTAACATTACGGAGACCTACACTGCACATTTTAGTTTTGTTTCATTTTTTCATTCATTTGTTTTATTTTATTTGTATTCAATTTTTTTTTAAATTTATTAAATTAAAAACTATAAAAATTATTTAATAATGTTCATAAATAAATAAATAATAATAAAATTAAGAAAAAATAAAACTAAACGAAACAAAAAATAACTTTAGGGAAGAAAAAACAAAAAACAAGTGAGAAATGACATATTTTCATGATGCAGAAGGACTAATTTTTTTTTTTATATATATAGTTTTAAGAATTTGTTTGGATAAAATTTTCAATTAAAACTTATAGGAGAAAAAAAAAGAAGCAAAAAAAAAAAAACCTTTTCATACAGTAAAAGTGTAAAACTAGTATATGATTAAGTTAAAAATAAGATTCTGGAGATTATAATAAAAAAGAAATTTTGCAAATTATATATATGCATAAATTAATTTTAATTATATAAAAAAATATTTCATTTTTTTTCTTCTAAAAGTGTATTTTAAAAAAGTTTATCTAAATATACCTAAATTCATTTTCCTCTCATTGCCCAAGGGAAAAAAAAAATCATATTAATGGATACTGGAGATGAATTCGTGTGTGTTTGTTTTTCCGTTACGTTGAACGTAACCTAAAAATAACACATGAGTTGCTTTAGCTTTTTTCATCAGAAAGTGAAAATATTCCGTTTAAATAGTTTTGAAGACACACAAAGTCAGCTATATCTCTTGTTGGGCCTCGTTATAAACTAATCCAAACAAGTGCGGTCGCAAATTAACATCCCAATACTTAATCTGTTAATTAATAATGATTAGTGATAACATATAGTAAGTATAAAGAAAATATTATTATTATGATAAAATTTATTGTACAAATATATAACAACTCCTACAATAATAATAGTAGTGAATTTTTAATTCTTCACGTTTTCGATTGAAACTTCTCCTGCATCAAGATGTAAGGTGACTTTGTTGGGATAAATTTCTTAAATTAAATAGAAATTTTTCATTAATCAGTATTAAGAACCGTTGTCTCAGATTACAGAATTAATGTTAATAATACGTACCTGTATCCATTGACGTTGATCAAAAGGTTGCAGCGAAATAGTCTTTTGGTGCAATGATCTTCCTTAGCCAAATCACCGGATTCTTTGATGGGACTTGATGTTACTCTTCTGATGGAGAAACAGAGAGACATGTGTTTCTTTATGATTTTAAACCTATTAGGGTTCTCATTAATCCCTAACGGGCCAAATCTAGTTTCCACTTATATGAGCCCATATCAGTTTTTTCCTGTTGGCAGTCTAAAGGCTCACTAAAATTAGATCACTTTTATTGAGCCCAACTAAATGTAAATAACTAATATAAATACTACAAATAATATGTGCAACCCACAATAATTATTAGAAATAAAATTTATAACAATCTCCCACTTGGGCTTTATATTCATTTAAGTATTTATATCACAAAAATCTTTAGGCGCGCAACCGTATGTTATTTACTTTTAGACTCCCCTTAAACAATCTGATCCATCTAATACAACAATAGGGAATCACTACAGCTTTCATCACTATCTAATGTGACTAAGGGTTTCACAGAGGAGGATCGATGCTATGGAGGGCTTGCTCGGGATTGGACACACGACTCAGATCGGGAAGTATTTGGGGGTTCCCATGACTCATGGTCAGCCAAGGTGCGCAGATTTTTATGATGTGATGGATAAGATCTAGGGTAGACTTGCGGCTTGGAAGTCCAAGCTCCTTAATAAGGCAGGTAAGCTGTGCCTAGTGAAGTCTACCATCTCCTCTATTCCAGTTTACAACATGCAAACACTGTGGCTTCCTCAGGCAGTGTGCAATAGAATTGATCAGGCTTGTCGTCATATGCTCTGGGCAAAATCTGACAATTCACGGTATTGGTCCCCAGTGAGTTGGGCTGTTGTTACTCAACCCAAGGAGCGCGATGGTCTTGGGGTTAGGGAGGCGCGTAGGGTTAATGTAGCACTCCTTGGGAAGTTAGTTTGGGATCTGCTGACGGCGCCACAGAAGCCTTAGGTTCAAATCCTCAGCAGCTTATACATACATGGAAATTCTATCTTGTGTGCCCAAAACAAGCGGGGTGCTTCTCCAATCTGGTCAAGTCTTGTTAAGGCCCTTCCTTCTTTTTTTGAGGGTTTCGAGCCTTGGCTAGGGTCGGGTGCCTCATCCCTTTGGTACACGGACTGGTCAGGTACTGGGCTTTGGTGCGGGAGAGTCCCGTTCGTTCACGTTGCGGACATCATTAAAACGGTCGCCGACTGCTGGGTTAGTGGAGTTTGGAACTTTACTAACTTACATACTGTTCTCCCGGCGGAGCTGTCAAGTTCGGTCTAACGGCTGAGTGTCGTCAATTCCTCTTTGGGGCTGGATCACTTTGTCTGGAGGGGTGATCACTCGGGTTGTTATACAGCGGCCTCTAGATATCGATTTCTGACCACGGTCTTGTCGACAGAGGGGGATGTAGTTTGGAAGAAGGTCTGGAAGTTAATGATCCCAGAGAAGGTTAAGTTCTTTCTGTGGCAATGCCTTCAATCAGCCCTTCCAACGAACTAGGTTCGGGCTGATAGGAGGCTCACTGATTCCGGTGCCGCGGCTCCCTCCAGTCGGCGCTTCTCTTCGTTCGCAGCCTTTTGCATATCTAGCCGAAGAGTGTCGTTATTGCGCCGTTGCACATCTAGCTCGGCCGCGAGTTGCCAATTCCTTTGTTGAGCATCCTTCTTGTGTGCCCAAAACAAGCGGGGTGCTTCTCCAATCTGGTCAAGTCTTGTTAAGGCCCTTCCTTCTTTTTTTGAGGGTTTCGAGCCTTGGCTAGGGTCGGGTGCCTCATCCCTTTGGTACACGGACTGGTCAGGTACTGGGCTTTGGTGCGGGAGAGTCCCGTTCGTTCACGTTGCGGACATCATTAAAACGGTCGCCGACTGCTGGGTTAGTGGAGTTTGGAACTTTACTAACTTACATACTGTTCTCCCGGCGGAGCTGTCAAGTTCGGTCTAACGGCTGAGTGTCGTCAATTCCTCTTTGGGGCTGGATCACTTTGTCTGGAGGGGTGATCACTCGGGTTGTTATACAGCGGCCTCTAGATATCGATTTCTGACCACGGTCTTGTCGACAGAGGGGGATGTAGTTTGGAAGAAGGTCTGGAAGTTAATGATCCCAGAGAAGGTTAAGTTCTTTCTGTGGCAATGCCTTCAATCAGCCCTTCCAACGAACTAGGTTCGGGCTGATAGGAGGCTCACTGATTCCGGTGCATGTTCGCGTTGTTCTTGCCCTCATGAAACTATCTTACATGCACTTCGTGATTGCCCGTACTCGCGAGAGGTGCTGATGGCTGGCGGGATCAGTACGGGGTGGTCCTTCTCGGAAAGGGATTGTTTTCAGTGGCTAAAGGGGATTATTTTGCACACGGATGTTATTAAGCTATCCATCACCTTGTGGTGGGTTTGGCGGTTTAGAAATAACATGTTGTTCAACGGCGAGCTTTGGACGATTTTGGCAGTCCGTAGGAAGGTGACACTGTCTACGGTGGAGAACAGTGTGTACAATG